GATACTAAGAGACTTGCTTTGTTAATCTTTCTCTATGACCCCAGCATGTCACTTAGGGGGTAGCTAACAGGCCCTGCTTCTCCAACAGTTTTGCTGCCCATCTTGATCTCCACAATGCTGGCCCAGGATTGCTACCCGTCCCCAGGCTAAAGCAGTTTTAATGTCTACACAGGGGTAGCACCTAGGATTTCAGCAGCCTGAGCTAGGGCTACGGGTCGCATGAGAGACCAGGCAAGAACTAGAGCCGTCTGTGCAGTTGGGGCGGCAGGGCTGTCAGAGCTATGTTTCGGGCAGTCCATGTTCGTAGTGAGTGGGATGGAGCCAGGGAGCACCCGTCCAGGGCTGTGGGTGGGAGGACTCCCAGAGATGGGGTCAGGCGTGCGGGTTTGATGGTTCCTCTGACTCCACCGTGGATTGAGGCAGCTAAGGATCTCCTGACTCAACTTAGGGCTGTGGGTTTCAGGCACTTCAATTTAGTGCCTGTGGTCAGGCTGCTCGTGGTCCCTTCCTGCGGCCTGGCATCGGGCTGTTCCAGCTCTGTTTAGGGTAAGGATTAGGGTTAGGGAATGGGCAGGGATGGAGCTGCCTTTCTGGTTTATGTGGTAGGACTCTGGGCACTGTGTTTGGGGCACAGGCGAGTACGGCAGTCGGTGATAGTAGTAAATGGGATGGAGCTTGGGGCACCCCACGTGGGGGCTGGGGCGGGAGGGCTCTTAGCCATGGGGTCAGACGTTGGGGGTGGAAGGGTTTCTGGTGCCCAGTGGGGTTCACGCAGCACCAGCTCTCCAGGCTGGACGTGGGGTGCTGTTTGGGAGCTGCGGCGCTGGGTGTGGGGGCGCGATGGAGCTGGTCCCCGGGCGTTGCCGCGGCAGCGTTCGTACCATCGCGGCACCGCAGGATTCCAGGCAGTTGCCGGCGGAGGCTGGAGCGGTGCTGCCGGGCGCCCGGGGTCTGCACAGACGGGTAAGTCGGCTGCGGAGACCGCTGCCCCCATTATGCCCCTGGCTGAGGGCAACGTGGGTGTTGAGACGAGGCCTCTTGCCCCAGGGGGGTGTTAGAGCCCGACGTCAAAGAGTCACGAGGCCGGCGCCCTCCTGCCCCATGACGAGGTGTGCCAGGGGGACGCAGCCCGACGGGGTGACATTTGCACCAGCCCCACCAGCGATGGGACCAGGAAGGGCAGTGGTGCCCGATCCTGCACCACAGGGGCAGTGGGCATCTGGTCAGTGCCTTTCTCGGGGCTGGTTTGTTCCTGTGTAAAGCCCAGAGCAAGGAAGCAGAGCCGTGCCCAGCTGAGCGACCGCACCGCAGGCACCTAGACGTGGGGTCTCCCCTCTTTTCAAGAAGCACAGAATTGGAGCACCAACCCACATCACTTCCAATGCCTGAGGATTAATTTTGTTGTCGAAATGACAGTCCAGGGGCACAAGTATTTTCTGCAAATTTAAATTTCCATCTTCTTTCTTTCAGTGATTGACACGCATCGTCTGGAGAGCGACGGGAGAGCCAAGGTCAGGGAGGATTTCGCTCTTGGATCTCTCGCCCAGGAGTGAGCAGGTAAGGACAAGGTCCTCAGGCAGTGCTGCCGGAGGCTGCGGCAGCGGGAGATCTGGGAGGGGAGCGAGGGTCTCTTCTGCTTCCAGGCTTGTGCCTGTGTTCGGAAAAAAGTGCAGAAGGAGACGGAGCCGACAAGACCCTGCCTTTGGAGCGAGGGGCTGAGTAGTGCTCCCTGCCAGCTCTGTGTGCAGGAGGCAGGAGCCGGGCAGGCTCTGCAGGACACCCCCTGCCGAGGCCGAGATAAGAAATATTTGCGCTCTAACCTTGTGTGTCTTTTATTGCCTCCTTAAACCATCTTCTCCTGCACGGGTGTCAGAGGGCTTCAAAACCAGTCTCGGGCCCGGGTTGCTGTCCCTGCCAGGATGGCTGGAGTGCGGTGCACAGCCAGTGTGGATTAAAACACTGGTTCCTCTTACATTATATTGAGGGCCATGGTTTTTGTTTCTGCAGAGCAGGGGAGTCGGACTCTCCTGCATCGTGAAAGGCATGAAGACAAGGTCCAGGGAGAAGTCCTGGTGTGGAAAAGAAGTGCCAGAGGGCAGCCAGAGTTTCCTTTAATGGCCGAGAAGGGCCTGAAAGGGAAGGTCTGGGGGGACAGGACTCCTGGAGGGGACAAAACAAGAGAGGGAAAGGGGTGGGAGGCAGGAGAGGTGCAGATCTGTTATAGGGGAAGAGATTATACAAGAAGATAGCTTCAGAGTGGATGCTATAGTCCCTTTCAGGGGCAGGCATCATCGCCTTGGGAAGGCAGTGACCGTGGATCCAGGCGGCGAGGGACATTCCCCAGAGGCGAGGCAGCAGGCCTCGGTACCGGACCGGAGGGAGGAGCACGCGGCATCCCGAGGGCCTTTGAGCACCTGCCCAGCAGCACTTCATCCCCCCGGGCAGGTGAGGGGCCAGCGGTTTTCCCATGTCTGTGCAGGTGACTGCAGAAAGGGGAGGAAAATCCACCCCGCTCCCAGGTGGTGACCGCGGCCCCGATGCTCTCTCCCACCAGCTCCAAGGGGTTGGAAACATCCCCAGGTACAGAAGCTCCCACCTGTCCCAGCTCAGCCAGTGCCGCCCAGCCGGAGTGGGCAGGGAGCCCAAAGCTGTGGCGCTGATGGGCATCACGGGTCACAGGGAAGGGGCCCCTGCCCTCCTCTGCCTGGACTCCCAGGGGCTTCAGCCCACAGCCAGTCGCATGGAGCCAGAGGTGGGGGCAGCAGCAGGGAGCTGTGTCCAAACCAGCTGCCTGCCGGTCATTCACCCCGAGCCCAGGGCTTTTCCTGCCCATGATCCCCAAGTGATAAGGATACTGGTGTCATGGGGGAAATACAGGGCACACCTGCCTGTCTCCTGGAGAGCAGGAGGGTCGGGGGAGACGTGTGTGCAGGGGTGCCTTGAAGGCCAGCTGATGACTGCTCCTGCTCGGTGCCAGGATGGACAGGCTGAGGCGGGTGCTGAGGAGGAGGACCGCCAAGGTGGGCTTTGTGCCAGAAGATCACAGCAGGGGGCCTGGGCAGGAACATCTGGGCCCCCCCAGCCGTGAAGAGGAGGGGCCCATCCAGGCAAGGACGTGGCTGTGCTCCATGTGCTGGCGTAAAAAACCAGCACTTCCCAGCGCCAAAGATCCTTTGAAGCAGCCCACCACCTCCAGGTGCAAGTGGAGGTGGCCCTGGGTGCGCCCGGGCAGGCAGGAGCCCGGAGGAGAGGAGCGCCGAGCAGAAGAGCCGTGCAGCCTCCCGCCCAGGGCACCGAGCAGCCTGGAGCCCGGCCCTGCAGCCCCCCGCAGAGGCGCGGAGGAGGGCCCAGCCTCCCTGGGGCAGGAGCTGAGCCCGTCCTACAGCAGCCTCAGCCTGAGCTGCAGCTTCTCCTCGGCGGACTCGCACAGCTCCCTGGGGTCCGCGAGCCCCCCGGACCCTGGCACCAGCCACACCGGTGAGGCGACGCGCTGGGGGTCACCAAGTCTCAGGGCCATTCACTCCGGGGGGCAAGTCAGACCCTGCGCAGGGCTGGGCAGGGGGATCCTGGCCATGGTGAGGGGGCTGAGCCGCACGACCTCCAGGTCCCTGCGCAGGGGTGGCCTTGGTGGGGGTGGGTGAAGGGGGCGGCAGAGTCGCTTGTGGTGGGGACAGGGACCTCCCAGGGCAGCAGGGACAGTCCAGTCTGCTCTCAGCTGGTGAAGGGAGCGCGACTCCATCTCTGCCCTCCACAGCTCACGTTTCTTACTCTGGGGGGCAAAGGACTCACCCTCCCCACTTTCCTTCCTGCTGCAGTGATTCCCAGTCCGGCCATAGAGAAGGTGCAGGACGAGGAAGACCAGGAGAAGGAAGATCAGGGGACGCAGGAGGGAGCTGCGCTAAGTGTCACTCAGTGCCTCCAGGAACGCAGGAAGGTAGGAAACCCGCTCAGTCCTCTGTTCCCTCCCTGGGAAGCTCATCCTGCTGACCGGAGATGACAAGCGGAGACGCTCACCCGCGGGCAGTGCTCGAGGTGGGTGCCTTTGTGAAGCCCCACCTGGGTCCCCTCCCGCCACAGACACTGCCATGCTCCTCCCTGCGCCTGCCCAGGGGGAGACTCATGTCAGCACCATGGGGGTCCCAAGAGACCTGAGACCCACAGCGGATTTGGGGAGGACAGGGAGGTCCCTGGCTCAGAGCCTCCCTTTACCCTGGTCCTGCTCCTGGTAGATGCAGCACAGGAAGGATGGGCAGTGCCTGCTGCAGGAGCTCCTCACCCTGCAGGCAGCCATGCAGCAGAGGGGACACGAGGCAGTGGAGCTGCAGGGGTGGAAAGCGTCCATGCCAGACAAGATCGTGGTGAGTAGGAGGTAGCACGGCATGGTTTGGGGAAAGGAGAAGAGAGGGTAAAGAGTTTCTTGAGTCCAGGGTGGAAGGGAGAGATGGAGCTGGACCGAGGAGAAAAGGGCAGGCGCGCTGGTGGGCAGCAGAGACGGGAAATCCTGGGACAGGCCAGGGGGAATGGTGTGTGTGGAGGGCAGATGAGGGCTTGATCGGGGAGCAAGGGGGTGGTTCAAGTGACATGTCTGAGTGGCCATGGGAGGGGGAGGACCAGCCCAGTGGGTGGGGGGCAGGGGGATGTGTTAGGCACCCCAATGGGCGGATCCTGGTGCCTGTGCCTGCAGCACTGGGTGGTCTCCCGTGCAGGACGGGGCTGTGGCCTCTGGGGCCGTAACCTCACCCTTCCCTTTGGGTCTGGCAGGAGCTGATGGAGGATGTCCCCAGAGAAGAATATCTAGGAAACACCATCCCAGACATCATAGCTGCCATCTGGTGCCTCAGGTACCAGGACCTCTGCCCGACTGGCCTATCTCTGCCATGGGCCAGGGAGATCCCTGCTGCTCAGGCCCAGGTTTCCTGGCTCTTCCTGCCGACCCCAGTGGCACCCCCGCCCCGCACAGCTCAGCGTCACAGAGGTTCCTGTCTCCTGACAGTGACCTGGAGATGTGCCTGGACCCCTTCCTGCAGTCGCGCCTCCTGAGAGCTGCAGCATCCAAGACTTTCGGGGCCATAGGGCGCAACAACATCAGCAACCTGGTAGGTCCCCCTGCCCCTGCCCTGTCCCACAAGCCAGCCCCTGGCAGGTACGGGCACAAGCTGCCTGGCGCTGACCCTGGGCTCTCCCTCCCCTTTCTGGTCATGCAGAGGATGCACATGGGCAACCTGGAGGGCCTGCTGTGGTGCCTGCTGTCCAGCGCCCCCAGCCTGGACAGGCTGAATTTCTTGTGGGAGGTGAGCAGGATAGAGAGGGGCTGGGCTCGGGGAGAGGTGGCCTGCAGCCCTGTGACCTGCACGAGCCTCTCTTAATGCCTTTGGAGCTGTAAGGCAGAGGATGAAGGCCCAGCTCCAAGCCTCAGCCCCGAGGAGGAGTCAGCAGACATGACTGGTCTGTACAGCAGGGGCATGAGCCCGCTGATCTTGGTGTCTTCCTCCCGCAGCAATTCACATTCTGGATGGAGGCAGTGGATGCCCAGCACCGAGCCCTGGGCATGAGGGCAAGCACCACCCTCATGTCCTTTGCTGCCCTCCTGCTCCCACACTTTGAGGTCAGTGAGCCCCGACCCCAGTGCCCTGGTCCCCTGCTGTTGTCAGGACCCTCCTGGGAGAGAGGAGTCAGAGCTGGGACCTGAGCTTCACTCCAGGGCTCTGCTTCTGTCTCACCGGTGCACCCCAGCTCTCTTCTTGGGGTCTCTTTTCCATGGCCTGCTCTGGGCGCACTGGCCTACCCCCCACCACCCGGGGTCCTGGGACCTTTGTAGCCCCGGAGCAGCAGGCACGGGGAATCATGCTGGGGTGCTGACCCGGTGCCCCAGCTCCAGGTTCCTGTGGGAACAGAAGGATTTCATGCCCTGACGCCATGATCTCTGGCCCCATCCTGCTTTGTGATGGTGGTGGGGGGAGATGGAGAGAGGGAGATGGCCTTGGGGAACCTGCAGGTTTGGGAAGGTAGGACAGGCATGGACCCCCCCTCCTCTGCCTCTGCTTAGGGCTCCCCTGACGTGCCTGAGGTGGGGGACATGGCAGCGCGCCTGAGTCTGTCCATTGGTGACCCAGAGGAGACCATCGGCTGCGACGCCATGGAGAGTTTGTACTGGCTCACTCGAATCCTCCTGCACCAGAGGGGTAAGGACCAGAGGGGTAAAGACCCGTCCAAAGTGCTGGACCACGATGGAAATGGTGCCCACCCCCGCAAACCCTGATCCAAAGCTAGGATGGCAGCTAAGAGCCTCATGTCTCCACTTGTCACAGGCCAAGACATGCGAGGGGCAGACGAGATGTTCGGCGAGTGCCCTCTGGAGCCGAGCCAGGTCCAGTGTTACAGGGACCTGGCGAGAGTCGGAGAGGTTAGGATGCTGCACCCAGTGCTTGCCAAGCTGCAGGGCTAGACTTGTGTCTCTTTGGCCTGGCTGTGTGCTGGGCTGTGGAGAAAGGCCTGCTGCTTCTCTCCAGCTTGCAGAGATCTTCCTGCGCCGGGGTAGAGCCTTGCAATGTGCAGAGCGACATGGTCCCAGGTCCCAGAGATGGAGCCTGGCTCTGAGATGCACCAAGCCTTGTGCCCTCTTGCTTTCAGGTGCTGAGAAAGATCTTGTCCGAGGAGCAAAATAGATCATTCCTGCAGCGGACCATTCTGGCAATTCATCATGGGCGGATGCACGTTAAAACACCTGCGCTAGTCTTCCTCTATGCCATCCTGGGGGAGACCAGCCTCCTGATCGGGGACAAGGTTAGCAGCCGCCTCAGGTGCAGGGGACTGAGAAAGGGCCCCTCGCCTCTCTGCCATGTCTTATCGCTCTCCCTCATCGCAAGGGGTGGAGAGAGGTCATTAGCTATGGGAGTGTGAGCTGTAGCACAGGGCAGGGTTGATTTGTACCATATAGGTGAACTGAATCCGTGAGCTATGTATAGAAAGTCCAAGATATGGTGACCGCCAGGTCACATCAGCAGAGGCTGAAGCTTGCTCCTAGGCCCAGACGTGCCCATGGGCCTGCCCCTCCACCTCCTCAGAGCCAGGCTAATCTCAGGCGGCAGGCTGAAGATGGATTTGTCTGCAGAGATGGAAAGGCTGGGCCCTGGGATCACAGGCTGGGGGGCATTTCCCCTGCTGCCCCTGGGTCTGTGCTTGCCCTAGGGAGAGCAGAGTATTCAGCCAGTTGGCACTGGCCATCTGCCCCCTTCCCCCCGGCTGCCACCCCCTGCCTTCCCCACGACTCTCAGACAAACGTCCCTGCAGGAACCTGCCCCCATTTCACTGGGCTGCTGCCAACACCCCTTGCTTGGAGCCCAGTCCCTGCTCTCATGTGCCGAGTGCTGGCTGGGGTTGTGGGGGAGGCTGGAGTGGGGTCTTGGCTTCCCCACATGGGCGCATGGTGAGGAGGTGCCAGGGAGGTGGGTGGGGAGTGGGGCAGTAGCTTCGGCTGCCGTGGGCTGGGAACTGGGCTGGGGTCTCTCGGGGGTCCGAGAAGAGTCTGTCTTGGAGGTAGGGTCCCGGGGCTTGACCCGTCCCACCATCCCCAGACTGGCTCTTGTGCCCCTGCAGGAGGAAGAAGTCCCCGGCAGGATCATGAGGAAGCTGGTCCTCATGAAGTGCTGCCATGAGCCGCCCAAGGAGCTGCAAGGACACAGCCTGCTCCTCCGGCCCCCTCTCCTCTCCTCCCTCCAGCAGCCCCCGGGTCCTCCTGCAGGTACTGTGCTGTGCCCTGGGCCCCTGGGGAAGCAGGTCTTGTGGGGGGAGAGGGGGAGGCTCGCACCACTAACCCAAACCTGCTCCCTGCCGTGTGCGGGGACTTGTCTGCTCTGCCCCTGGCGAGTCCTGTCCTACCGCCCATCCTCCGTGGGCCATCCTCTTGCCTCCCGCCTCTGCCAGGATCCTTTGCCTCGTGCCCTGCTGCCCATACACAAATCTTGTCCCTCCCCGGGGCTGTGGATGGACCTGCCTGGCGCAGGTGTCGCCCTCTTTCTCAAAGGAGCTCCCCCAAGTCACTAAACAACCCCAGGACAGGCTGGAGGCTGCTTCCCCACGCGTCCACCTGTCCACCTTTCCACGGCTGGGGTTTTCCATGCTGCGCTTCTAGCTCAGCTCAGATCTGGTTGGGCTGTGATGCCTGAAGGTGTTCAGCTGCTTCCATGTCAAAAGCTAAGGGGGGACTATTTTGTTTTCCCTCATTCAAATATTGTGGTCTCTGTGTCCTGGGAAAGCTTTCAGTCCCCGTTTCCTCGGAGCAGGGCCTTGTGTCAGTGTGACCATGTCCATATTTAACATTTGCTCCCTTTTCTTGCACTGTGCAGAGAGAGCTCCTAACCATCAGGAGCACGAGAGCCCCTCCATGAGTGATGACGACATCTAGCACCTCACCGGGAGCCTGGCGGCTGTGTAGAGATCCTGCAACAGTGCCGAAGCCACCGCACGAGAGTCACCGACTGAGCACATCCGCCCGCTCACAGTGGTCCTCCCTAGACTTCAGCTTGTCCCCAAAGACGCAGCCTGAGAAGCCCCTCGTGGGTGAAGGGTTTGACAACTTCATCCGTCAGCCCTGCCACGCCAAGGGTCGCAAAAGCACAGACACCATGCGCTCGTGGTCCCCAGGTTGCCTAATGGAGGACGCTCGTGTTGTGCGGGTGGCATTTTGTTACCCCCTGCCTCAGGGCTTTTGCCGGTCGCCATTTGGGGCCAGGAAGGAATTTTTTCCCCCTCATCTGTGGAAGTATCATCTGGGGGTTTTTCGCCTTCCTCTGAGGCACAGGGGCAAAGTCAGTCCATCGCGGCATCTGTTGTGTTAGCAGCCTGCCTTAGCGCTCCCCCCTGAAGGGACAATCCTTCGAAGGCTGTGCAGGGAGAGACAATGAACCACAGGCACCGAGTAGAACGGGTGCGTAGGAGTTAAGAGTAGTTTTAGAATAATAAATTTAATATCAAATTTTCTTTTCTAATAAGTGTTGTTGTTGATCTCCTCTTCCTGCTTCTAATACAAATTCATGACCTGCAAAGAAAGAAAGATGCAAACATGATCTACTCTTATGGAAAACATGGGTTCCCCAGCCTTCCGAAGAAATCTGGTGTTTTTAGCTCAGGGTGTCAAGGTAGAGCTGATTACAAAATATCTAGTACTGTTTTATTGGAAAAGGCCATTGTGGTCAGGTACATGGTTCAAGAAGCTTTCAAAGCAAAACTCTTTCTCCACTTGAAGTTGGGGTTGATGTCAAGGCCCCAGGAAAGATGACAAAGAGCGGGGCCAGCATGTCAGTAGAAAGATGGCTTTGGTGCTCAGGGCTCCCAGGTCTGATGTGAAAGACCCAGAAATATGTCCCTGTTAGGATGTATGCGTCTCCTGTTTAGCTTCTCTCCATGTAGAGCTGGGGTGGGCAAATTGGTGGATCTGGCCAGTGGCCAGACTCCATTTCCCAGCAGATCCTGCCCACATCGTTGCATCCGATTTCCCTGGAGCAGCGCTGGGGCTGGGGCTGTGACAGCACGGGGCCAGGATTTCTATAGAGACCAGCCCCAGCAATGCTGGCAGGGCATGCTTCTGGATGGGGAACTGCTCCAGGGCCAGGGTTGGGATCTTACAGTGATGACAGCATGGTTCAGAGCTAGGACAGAGCCGCAATCTGTTGCCTGCACACCCCAGCCTGGGGCATGCGAGCAGTGTATCACAGCTGTGCCCCGACACCATGCTTTCACTGCAGCAAGATCACAGCCCCAGACCAGCTCTGCCCTGCTACACACCTTGCCTGTGCTGTAGGAGATGGTCTCCATGCAAGTTCTGGCCCTATGCTGTCATGGTCCCAGTACTGCTGGGGTCTCCATGGAAACTTTTGAAACTGTCTCCTATGACATTCTCATGAGTAAGCTAAGGTAATGCTGTCTCGATGGTAATACTGCAGAGCAGATATAGAACTGGCTATTTAGTCATATTCAAAGAATAATCGGTCGTTAGTGGGTTGGGGCGTCTAGTTGGGATGAGGTACTAAGCTGGTTTCCCCCAGAGGTCTGTCCGGGGTCTGATATTGCTTGATATCCTTATTAATGGTGTGGACGATGGGACTGAGTGCCCACTCTGCCCATTTGCAGGTGACACCTAGTTGGGTGGAATTGAAGCAACCCTTGATAAATAACCTATATAAACTTGGAGACATAGTCCAAAATGAATCAAATGCAGTTCAATAAGGACAAGTGCAAAGACCTTGCATTTGGTATGGAGCAATTACATGTACAAATAGAGACAGGGAATTATGAACTAAGCTCCAGTACTGCAGAAAAGGACCTTGGGGGATGTAACAGAGGACTATTGCCTTGTCCCTCTGAGAGAGAGACAGCCAGTGACAGGGGGCCAGAAGAGAGAAGTGGGCAACCAAGAAGGAAAAGTAGTAGCTCCACGGCTACAGAAAAGCTTCAGGCCACCTACCTATGAGGTCTGGGGTCCAGGCAATAAGGTAAATAGCAGCTTCAGCAAGCTGCTTCTATAGTAATACAGGCAACTTACCCCTGCTAGAGAGACTGGCCATGAAGCAAAACTGAGGGGCTGCAAGTCAGAGTAGAGGGGCAGCTTGCAGAAGGCCTAGTGTGGCTGTGAGGCAGGGCAGAGGGAGCTTGAGTGGAAGCAGGTGGCCACACAGAAGTGAGCCTGCAAAAAGGCAAGCCTATAGATTGGTTAATGGGGATCCGGCCCTGAGAAGCAGGGATGGGGTGACCAGAAGTAGGTGGAGTTTCTGAGTATATAGGCTTGTGTCCAGGGCCAGGGAGTCACCCTGGTCCTAGTGGTTGTGGGGAAATGATCTGTCTGGAGAGAAGGAACAACTAACAGCCACAGAAAGAAAAGGTACCCCATGAGTTGGTAGGGACAAGGGAGGATCTTCTCTGTGGTGAGTTTGCTCTGGCTTTGGCTACATCCCAATCCCCTTTTAATGACTGCTTTGAGTCACAGAAGCAATTAAAGGTTTACTAGCCAAGGCAGAGATACAGTGGAATGTAATCAGGTCCTATGCATATAATATCACCCGGTGCATGCCGCATCCAGAAAGCATCATTATGGTGTACTCTACACTTCACTAGATCCAAGAGCCCTGTCTGCTGCACTTGAGCAGAGAGAACAGGCAGAGAGAGAGGCCCATTGTTTCCCGTATAAGTAAACAATAGATAATGATACCTTGCTGGCATCTGGATGCAAGATAATCGTTTCAGGCTCTCCCTTGCTGGTAGGTGTATTTGTATTCTCCCTATCACACCTTTGGAAAGGAAAGAAGAAATAAAAGTTATAATTATTTGTTCTATTTTTTAAATTTTATTTTAGATTTAACATTTTTTTTTAATTTAATTTTTTTTTTAATTTTATTTTTTTTAATTTTATTTAATCTTCTTTTTCCATGTCTCTCTTTCTCTGGGTGGCTTTGATTAGAGGATGGGATTGTCTCCCATAAGTGAGAAATGTTCAGACTTCACTTCAGCCTCAACTGAGGGCTGACTTCTTTTTGTGGATATTTGTGTTAGCATTGTGTCAGATGTAGCTGTCTGAAATAAGCTACCTCCCCAGCTCCACCCTTGACAGCCCCCAGTCTTTTAACATTTCTAGGAGAGTTGTGCAGAAGGAGCTTTGTAGATCATTAAGTGACCCTGGATGATTATGCAGCAGGAGACAATACCTAAGCATGCTCAGAGTTTCATAGTTTAGGGACTGGAAGGGACCTTCCCAAACAAAATCATTTAATAGGTGTTTGGCATGAGATCCTCAATGACTGTATATTGGGATGGATCCAGAATGCTCATTCTACAGCCTGTGGGCTGGATCTGGGCCCCAAAGTGACTGGGTCTAGCCCGTTGCATACAGCATCAGTGGTAAGCAGCTTGGCCTTGGCCTGGGGTGTCCCCTTCCCTGTTCTGCGCCAGCCGCTGATCCCCTCCGCAGTCCTCCCTACTTTCTTCCTCTCCCCACCTACCCCTTCACTCCCTCTGACAGTGGCAGCCACCTCCGTTCCCACTTCTTCCGCCCCCTTACTAGAGGGGAATAGTGGCCCAGGGTCACAAGCACATGGCCTCCTTCTCTGAAGGTAGCGCTCCAGTGGGACAGATCCATTGATTCAGATGGAGTCCCACCAGCTTACGTCTGGCTCCTTCTGTTCCACATCTTGAGACTGAAAATAATGCACTCTGTCCTAGCGAAGATAGACAAGGTTAGATACCAGCTTGAAGGGTGAGGCCTGGGTTTGGATCACAGCCACGATCTCTGCTTTTTCTGGCACTTTGCCACCCATGGAAATATTTGGGTCTAGATTTTCTGCCAGCAGCACCACGACCAGTAGTGACTTGCCTGCAGAGAAAAACGGTCATAGGTGTGTCTGAGCCTCGGTGACCCATTGGGCTGGTGGGGCCGAGGTGCCCCAGGTTTTGTAGCTAACCATACACAAAGAATCAAAGTAGGTAGTATCATGTCTGGCATTGTTGGCTCCTCAGCCTAAATGAACAGGTACCCACTTGGCCTGCGGCATGAGTCCAGGACAAGCACTGAACTCTGGCCTCTGGATCTGTAAGACACTGTAACTGCTCTGCCATCCCTGGTCCTCAGGCTCCAGCACTGATGCAGGAATGAACTCAAGGGGTCTAATCACTCGTGGTAAGTGAATGCAAAAATCTAGAGCTCTTGGTTCAGAGACAATACCTTTTTATTAGACCAACTGAGAAATTGCAACAACAAAAAATTGTCTTTCTGCAAGCTTTCGGTTTCATGTGCCCTTCATCAAGCTCGGGGAAAGTTTAAAGGTGGTAAAAAGTCCCCATATAGAGGAAATCAACTTCATTTTTGCACAGTGGAAGCTGAAGCTGGAAGTCTGTTCCTCTGGGTCCATGAGAGTGTCCTCCCTCAGTCCTCATGTTCAAGGTCTTCCTGACTCCTGGCCATTGCACTCATGCTGCCACAAGGACCTTTGGCT